GTGTAGGTCAGCTTTGATGAAGGACACAAACAGAATTCTTAGGTAGAAAATTCTTGAAAAGCGGTCACTTTTACAATTGCGATGATAGGAGGAGAAAATTGAAGTGGATCTTTGGAAAACAGACTGATTGTAACAGTATGAAATCAGATGACTACTCGTATATGCAACATGGCAGGGTCTCGTGTCAATGGCAATGGACGCTTTGTGGTATACTGCCAGTGGTCTCTTAAACGAGTGTCCTGCGCCTCATATTGAAAATCTAGAACAAGTATGACTCATGGTCATACCTGTGGCCAGCTTAGGATGGACTTCATCTTTATGCTAAAACTTTTGAGAGAATGTTTATCATGTAAATGGAATATGATCTTAAGCATTTATCCCAACTTCTGTACACAGACATTGAAAATTCTGTTAATAGCTAGTTCAGCTTGAAGAGCACTGTTCTAATAACTGAGAGCCTATAAGCTGCATTGCAGTGAAGTTATTCACAATATGTTTCACAGGAACATGGGAGAAGCAACACATAAGGAAACATGTGGGGCCCATTAATTGCATTTTACATATAGTTAATGAACATGGCCTACGAGGATTGTACCACGGAAGTCATATAATGTTGTATCGGTAAGTTACTATTAAACTAAACTACCTTTACTCTGAGATCAGCTTAGTGCCAAGTCAGGGAAAGCCAGTACGTAACTTATGTATGAGATACGATAATGTGCTGCTTGGTTAGGTCTACTGCACACCTTGAGAGATAATAGTAGAGGGAGTGATCTTCCCTACCTTAATTTCAGGGACTCTCTTTCATCAGGCCTTTATGTATTGACCTACGCTGTATGTCTGGACTTGTTGCACGGACCTCAACATGTATGGACAGTTATCTTTGCAGGAGGGATAGCAGGTGAGTGTTTATTATTATGATGGGCAATGGGAACAATCATTGAGCAATCTCCCTTATTTCTCATTTGATATCTTACTACAGAAGTGACATATTGCACAAACTGAAATAAAAGATACAAATGTAAGGTTATATAAATTTGACTTAACATACGAAATATCATTATAATGAACTGTGTTGCGATGGTGTTCATAACTACATTACAACAAGGAAGAAATATACTGCATGAGAGATTCGCTGTAAAATGCATTTTTTTCAACAAATACAGTTAATAATGAAAGATTATGGGCTGAAGTAGTCAATAGCAACCTTAACATATTCATTTTGTGTATATTACTAATAACATTTTGTTCAGTAGGATTTAGTGTTTTCACAGAAGAAGATGGTTGTCTCCTGAGTTGTAGTGCTGTATAGTCATTTACCAATGTTTAAGAGGTCATTGCCGCCTCCATTATCACAGTGACGTGTTCGTTTAGTTCACCGAATATCCTCATGAAAGGAAATCCACCATGCACTCCAATATGAAGTGAATTAACAAATAGTATGTTGCATTGAAGACTTAATTACACTTTTAAGGTGTAATCTCTTGGGCTTCAATAATGCCACTGGATGTTATCAAGTCTCGTATCCAAGCTGATGATTTAGCAAATCCTGAATACAAAGGCATTGTGGACTGTACAATCAAGAGCTTCAGGAAAGATGGTCTGCACGTATTTGGTCGTGGGTTTGTCATGTGTTCATTTCGATCATTCCTGGTAAATGCTGCAACTTTCCTTGGCTATGAATGGTCTTTAAGATTTTGCCAAGATATGTCGAAGGACTTCCCCACTCATCAAGAACTTAAGGACATACGACAGTAAGTAACCAGAAGACTTTGCAAATTAATATTAACCATTTTTATTCTGAAGATGGGAACAGAACTGATCTACCTAACAATAAATGGTCATTGAGAACACAGTGGCAAACCTTTCAATTTTGTAACAACAGGGAATTTCTTGATGAGCCAAATAACTACCATTCTCCATGAAAGACCCTTTATCATAGTCAGTTGTAAACATCCAGCTGAGTACACTAACAACTCTCTGTGCCCCAGTAATACTGTGCATTATGACTTAGTATTACCAACTCTGGTTGTGACCTTAAATCACAAGTTCATCTCTTTAATTCAGTGCTAATGATTTTTTTCAGAACAAACTGAACAGAAGGAACAGTTGATGCAGATGAACAAGACTGGACCAAATGCTCAACAGAACCAATAAAATTCACATTATGAATAAAATATTTTCATTTGTATGACGTCTTTCATAAATGACAACTAAGCTTAGTACAATGTAATGCCTTTGTCACCAATTTTCATCAATTTCATTTTGGATGCCAACTGAGCACACAGTTTCATAAATGTTACACCTAGTACGTTTCTGTACTAACGAGGGTTTGAACACCAAATTTGTTCTAGTTGTATCTATACATTTTGATATTTTTGTTGAGATGTTCTGCTTACCTTTGTATGATATAATGCAGTCCACATAGTTGAAGGTACTGACTAATTGCTCCAGTATCTTGTTATTGATTCAAATTTTGCTTCTAATATGGTCTTTGTTGCTTCAAGATCAAAGTAAATATTCTCCTTATTGTATGACAAACAATTTTTATTTAACTTTCACAGCTTTAATTTGAATCACCTTTGTAATAACTTTCAGCATTATACAACCGGTTCATTTGGCAAAGAATCACAGAGATGCCATTTTCTGGCGTGATGTCCCGGTGAAAGATTTGTCACTTAACAATTCTCTAAGTATGTCAACAACTAAAGGAAATAATAATTTGAAAATCTTGTTTAAATGTTATGCTGTCACCTTACTAACTTTAGTATCATTACATTAATGTTAATACTAAGCAAGAAAGAAAGAAAACGAAGCTGAATAACATACATTTTGTTTCCTTAATTTAAATCTTACAGACTTCACCATATCATTATTTCTACATACAACATAGCATATACTATCACGTAGGTTCTATGAAAACACACATCACGGATCAATTATTTTCTAAATAGCACCAATATTAGCAATGGCACTTTTAAGTGTAACTACAGGTACTACACATCTCTGTATTTTGTGTATAATGCAAAAATTCTTACTTACACTTAAATGCCCCCAATAATCTAAAAATATGTCAAATGCCAGTAAATGAACTTTGAACGTAGAAGACGATAAACAAAACATCTCCTTCGGTGAAGGCAACTGGGCTGACTTCCTCTCACAGAAAATTACGAACAAATTCTTAGGGGACAGAGAAAGAAAAGATGGCAGTTCCAGCACAAATTGTAGCTCTTTATTGTTTAAAATTTGGTTTGAATGCAGCTATACATATTATTTTTCTTGGTACTTCAGATTCCTATAAAAGACATACTCCATTTTTAACTTTGTTTTTTGTTATGGTGTAAGGGGAAAAATTAAAGTTCTTTAATCAACGCACATTATTTACACGCAAAACAACACTGCACGATCTTCGAGGATAGAAAGGCAAGGCAGGATTAAATTTGCAATGTTGCAGGGAAGTTCACTGGTAGTATGGTTCATTCATTATAATATAATTAACACACTTGAGTTTTAACTCCAAGTAAATGTTGGATGTTCATCATTGAGGAAAAATCTGACTGAGGGGGGAGGGGGGTAAAGACATGTAAACAAACTTAATCCTTCCGTGTTTCACAAACAATAATCATTCTCAACGGCTTATTTTTTTATGTTATCACTTATCAGATACTCACAGTGCATACCATTTTCCATTCTTATTTGACATTATGTATACAAGTATGGTATAATACTTTTTACATGTTGAGCTTTTGCCCCCACACACACCACTGGGAACAATAAAATGTCAGTTGTGGAAGGATACCATAACTGCACGATCTGCAACCGACCTTGGGCATCACTCTTTTACTTAATAAGGCAGTTAGGGCTAAACCTTGTGATTAGACAAGTGAAATATTAGTTGACACAAGACACCAGCTGAATGAAATTCGCGTCCAGGTTACGGTGTACACAGCAGTGTGATAGTTGATAGTTGTTACTTGTAAAACCAAACTGTTCTATAGCTGCAAGTTTGTGCCTAAATAATTTTCAGTTAACAGACAAAATAAAACAAATAAAGTAAGCTATGGTGTACCACTGGAAAGTTATAGTAAGCCTGGCTTACAAATCCATCTGAAATCTGTACAACCAAATCACCCATTAGTTCCTTTCAGTGTAACTTACTCTGTAAATACGATTAGTCTTCCTGTTCCCAACACTTACCCCAAAGTTGACTAATTTCTTCACCAGAAATAGATTTGGTGCTACACAGCTGATAATTTGTTAAGCACAAAATGAGGAAGAAACTACATAAAACTGACGTAAATAGCATCAATGCTGATAAAGTTAAAATAAATCACTGCAATATTTTTGATTTCAAAGTACCATATACATATAGTGTAATCACAGTGACTACATCAATAGAAGGGTATACAATACCATTTTACACTGTAGCAGCAACTCTTTCAATACAAAAATTACTACATTGATACAATGGTTATTATGGTTTTTAAACAAAACCATTCAAAATCTTTAACGTTCTTTGTAAAACCAATGAACATATTCAAAACAGCAACGAAACTTTCTGACAACTGAGTATCTATCATGTATCTTTATGATAAATTGAACCGATTACCATCTTTTTATTATAATCTCTGACCCTGATATTACTAATCTTCTTGAAACGTTCTATGCACTTGGAAGATCACTGAATTACTGTTCAGCTGAAGATTAAGTTAAAATCAATTTTAAATCCTTCTGTTTTGTTTGTCACAGTTCTGACAAAATAACTTACCTATCCATCCAACTAATCGCAGCTTACACTCTTACCACAGTCTCAAAGCCACATGCCTAAACTTCAGTGAATGAGTTTAAAAATTAACAGTTTAACTAATTCTTATAGATAAACCAGATTCAGAAGTTATGTGAACATAATTTTCCTCTCAATAAGAACATTGTCGTAGGATTTGAGGTTTTCACAGCGGTGAGTCCGAAGATAGTTGTCTTCTGGGTTGTTGAGCCGCGTAGTCTAGTAGAAGTTTACCAACGTTTCAGAGGTCCTGGATGCCTCCATCATCAGACTACATGGCGCAACAACCCAGAAGACAGTCATCTTCAAGAACATTGTTTCTTTCTTCAAAAATATGACTAAAATGTTTCCAGAGAATCAGTGGGTTTTGACATCCATCACGTCTTAATAAATACTACAGTATGTATATATATATATTATAAATACTGATGACAGTCAGTTGCATCTTATCCATAAAGACTTTGAGATCAAACCGGCTCACTGATAGATAACTTCAACTACTGTGATCGCTATATGCCATGAGAGTCAATACAAATGGTACCATATACCCTTACACAATATGATGCAGTGATAACATGTAAATAAATTAATATACGACAGCAACCTAGCTTGGAAATGACCCACCCACAGTTCATGTTTGACAGCGAACATCTTAAAGCTCCCACACTTGCAGCAGAATTGAAAAGACTATCTACTTCGTGCATTGGGATGATTCAATGACTGCCATCCAGTATACAATGGTTCACTTGAGTCCTAACTAAAAATCTGAAGCAACTAGTTAGTTAATATCATCAATCATGTTTCTTTATGGTTTGTCTATAGAAATAGCCAAATGAAGTCTTTAAAATACATGCTAATTTTTGTTGCCCATATCTTTTTATTATTATTTTTGGTTGCGGTTTACGTCAAATATGTATACACTATACAGTATTTTATATATAATATATGTTAATGTTATTTAAGATTTCTGTCGGTGGAAATGCCAACAATTTGTGCAGAATGGTAGCACTTGGTGTATGCACATTGATACTCAGTTTTACCTGCTAAGAATTACTGGGTTTTGGAGGTACAATTACAGGTGAACAACGATACCGCCAGGGATGTCTTCCTTTCCGTCCCGATCCGCTCGACCACCGACAAGGTTCATTCTGTATGCAAGTTTAAAAACTGAAACAATCTGAGCCTCGTAATCTCGGTTTAGCACCATGCTGGCAGCTGCATCGCTCCATTCCTCACTCACTGTTTTTGCTGCTCGAAACAGGTCGATCGACCGACTCTTAAATGATCACTTTTAATATCTTCGGGTCCGGACAATCGCACTTCTCATCACACAACAAATATAACAGCAAATAAAGTTCTATGACTTTTTTTCATTTAGATATATCACGTGGTCAATTTTATTTGGGTTATTTCTTTTTTACTTTGTTATTAACTTCAAGCTCTGACAGTCTCTTCCACAGTTCATCCCTCTCTTTCTCACGCTTCTTTTCTCTGGAAAGGAATAATTAATAATAATGACTGTAGAAAATTAATTTTTACATAGTTTATACTGCTACTTCATTCATTTTAAATTTGTATTACATACAAGATTTTAGAGCATGTTTGGTGTAAAACATTGAAATTCAAAATTAAAGAGAAATTGAAACTGGATTCAAAGAACAGCCACTGTTTCCAAATGAACACACCTTACACCACAAATGACCAAGAACACAGAAGGTACAGAAATTTTACATCATGAATACAAATTCTAACTTGCTAGCAATGAGTTTAAATTATTAGGTACAACATCTTTCAGAAAAATAAATTATTTCAAATGACACCTGTCACTGGTTTAGACATGTACTTACATTACTGCAGGACTTAAAAGTAGAAACTTTAAATATCACCAAACTTCTTACTGGGATCTCATCTCAGATTCACTGTATATATGTCAAGAGATAATACAATCATGTAAAAAGGTTCCTTCATCTTATCTTAAGAAGAAATCTTCTTTGTTATTCAGATTGGCTCAATTCTTGAACAGCGTATAACAACAGGGTTGGCAGGAGGAACACTGTATTCAATCGAGGACAAAAGCTAGCAGAACTCTGTAAATCTTTTGCACATGAGAACTAGGTATTAACATTACTTCTTATTCACCAGCTCACAGAAACAGTAACACACAGAATTAAATATACTGGTTAATCGGTATTAAACATGGCACTGACACAAAGACGTGGACTAATGAAGCAAAAGAAAAGCCAGAAAGAAGACTCTGAGGCTGGTACAGGCTTTAAGTAGTCTAGCCAATAAAGATAATAACAAGCAAGAAGTACAGAGCCTTCATGACTACTTACTTTTGTCTCTCAGCCTTGTAGGAAGCTGTGAGCTCATCAAAAAGCTTACTGTTCATCTCCATGAATGTTTTGAGCACATTGTACACAAGCGCCACAATGGTCTGATTCCAGTGCTCTTTACTGATGCGGTACAGAGCCGGGAACATTATTGGCATAATCACGTGGTTGTTCTCCTCGATCAAGCTCATAACGTATTCATTATTCCAGAAGTACAATGCGCGCTCAGCCACCTAAAGATGACGACCAATTTTGCGTAAGTCAGATTTAATTAATTATTAAAACATAATCTACTACAACAGTTGTCATGTAAGAATTCTGTGAACAAATGGTATGACATGGAGATACAAAATAAAAGAAACGTGGTTAGTCGAATAACAACTTGGCTATAAATTTAATTATTTCCACTACATTGCTGTAAATTGTACAGCTCCATACAGGGTAACAGCGCGTATCTTATTTCTACTTCACATTCACCTTTGATCATGAAACAAACAGGAACAAGGCTCGAAGCACAAGCTTTTCTCATTATAGTATCATAAATCCGTACCTGAAAGTGAGGACTGGAGACACATCTCGAAATCTGTCTGAACAATGGTTCCTGGACTTTGGCAAACTGTGATGGTTCAATTACTTCTAAAATTTCTTCAATTTCACCAAGGAACATCACCTGAAAGGAATATGCGCATTTTGCGTAAATTTTCAATCTAACGGCAGAGGAGAGATGTGGGGATGGAAGCAGTACAGAACAGACTGTTAGTCTGCAGAAATTCAACTAGCACAACTGAACGTTCGCATGGCTTCTATTCAGAAGGAAAACTTTTTCAGAGGCCAAGTGGTTAAAATTTCTAGAGTAACTTTAATAGAACATTATTTATCATGTTACATAATAACTATTCCACTTACCTCTTTTTGACTGCATGTTTTAGGCCAGAACTTGAGTAGCCCTTTGACAACAGGTTCAGTTAGCGTAGCATCCTTCTCAAGAAACTGAACGACACAATATGCCAGCTGTGCATGGTACAAGGACAAGCATTTCACTTTGTGCAATGGCAGCAGAACTTTCACGAGAAACTGCTTGTGTTCTGACTTCAATGGTAGAGCAAAGCCATTGATAATGCTGAAATCACCAAAATTCATTAGTTTTACACTCGGCACCCAAACAAAATTAATGTTGTGGTGGACGCTTCTAAAGTTCTAAAACCTAGATCTGTCAGGACCTAACACTATAACTATACTGTACTTACAGTTATATTCATATTTCTTACTGGAACAGAAATGGGCCACGGATGTTCTGACTGTAAAAGACAAGACTTCACACTTCTAAGCTTGGAGGCTGTACCAAAAATAGGTTACATTTTTCCCAGATGTCAGAAGACTTACTTGTACAATCTCAACTTTACACAAAAAATTTCCCCATTTCCAAAACAAAACTCACAAGACTGACACAAACTGTCCACTGTTCCAAAGCTAAAAGCTTCTGATGTTAGCCGTCATCTGCAGATGCCTCCATTTTATGGCACTGCGATGTAGACTTATGTCACTCTAAGAAAACACACCACCCAAACGTACATAAAATGAAAAAGTGGTGTATCATGTGATGCAATTACGGTGATGCTGATTGACCAGTTTCGTGTTCCGTTCCCAAATAGGTTACCTTATCTTTAACTTCTTTAATTACTATGTGTATCACAGCTACAAAGACTGCTAAATTTTACTTATTTTTAAGTCTTTGCATTTATTTATTTCTGTAACCGAATGACTCTAGGAAAAAATATATTAAAATGGTCTGACTCACCTTCCTAATATTTCCAACAACTCTCCAACACCATTAAAATGCTCTGTCTCATATACAAACCTAAAATTATAAATCATATTTATTAGGCAAATGTAATCAATATTTACACATTTAACATTTTAGAACGGGCATATATGTGAAATATATCAAGTATCTATTAATATCCTATGCCTTCTTTAATTACCTTTCAGCTCAGTACATGATAAAGATACTTAACCATTTCATAAACCAGCTACAGATACACTGAACATGAAATCGTGCGAATTACATATTCTGTTCAAAAACCTGCCACATAATATACAAAGAATTTTACTGGGAGATTAAATATTTAAGATTCTGGACATACCAAGATATAAATTTTACTGACCTAAGGAAGATATTATTTATTTGTTTGCGTATGAAAGCACGTAGCCCCAGAAATTTTCCATAGATGCGATGCAGAACTGTCTTCAGGAAATCACGCTCCCTAGGATCTTCACTGTCAAACAAGTCCAACAACTGCAACACACATATAATTTAATATAGTAAGCCTAATGATGTAACTATATGCAGACAATATAAATGGACAGATAAATGAACACACACACAGCATTAGGTCCAGTGTGCACTCTTCCTCAACAAAGTGCCATCGTGCTATTCATTCTTGGTTACATTGCACTACGGCCCTTACTTTCTGTAATCACTAGTGTGTGTCACTAAACACTTCCCTCTTCAGGATTCGGCATTTAAAAAAATATCTTCAATATTCTTCAACTGCTGCTCTGCTGTTACCATCGCAGAATCCACAAATGAAAATGGGCATCGCAGTATTAAGCAGGCACAAGTCGCTGATTCATTTTACCACAACGCACTGTCACAGATCAGAACCAAAAACAGCTGACATAAGAAGCAAAGAGTATCAATAGTGGTAACATCTTCAAAGAAAACTGTCATGAACGTTGCCCCTACCACCTTCAGCCGAAACTGACGCCTGTGTTGCCATCTATGAAGTATGCGTAAGCATTTGTTGTTGGCACAGTTTTAAATGTCCACAGCCTCACATCCATTGGAAGGACCAGATATTACATCACAAACCTTAATGCAGTACCAGTTTACGGACATCGGCCATTCTTTTATCATATTCTAGAGATAGAGCAATCTTGAACTGAAGCAATAAATTTCTGCAGGCATACACTAGTGTCTCAAAACTGAAAAAGAAACACCCAAGTAGTGAGAGTAGATGGCAGCGTCTCCGATTTACCTGCTAGTGGTGTGGACTAGTGCCAAGTTCTGTATCCCCATTCTTCATCACCATCTGCCTTTAGGACTCGGTGGACCAGCAATGGTCATCGACTGTTCACGATAAAAATAAACACACAAAAACTTCATATATCAAGTCGTGACCAGAAACACACATACCTGTAGCACAAATTTTTGGTCTATAACTTTCTTGCCAATGGTAGGTTGAAAATCTGAGGATTCCAAGAACCGTAGGAAAAACTCATACACCAGCTGCAAAAAAGAAACATTAAATATAAATTTTTATATACCAGTACTGAAATCTTGTTATTAAATTCTAAGAAAAATTATCTATCATTCACGCTGTTGAATAACGGAGACCTCGATACTGCATCTAGAATCCTTGGGCCTGCTCAAATATGGTGTGATATATGAGGGGGAGGGGTGGAGAGAGGGAGAGAAAACTCAGTTTGGGCAAAGCCCCCAGAGCAACAAGCGCGGGATGCAAGGCCCCAGGGAGCAAATGACAAAATGACAGTGTAAGCTCAGAATTTTGGAAACATTTTATACTTACTTGTTTTGCAACTGTTTACTTATGTTCCTGTTTAATTTTTATTTTAATCTTTTTTTACATACACATTAAATTTTTAAAAGCAGAATAGCGTGGTTTTATAAAAACGGAATTTCAGTTACCTGCAAATATTACTTAAAACAAGAAAACAATTTAGTATCTATACGGAAATACATATTCATTAACACTCCTGCATGAAATGATTCTTCAGAAAATATTTCCCATTTCCTCTCTTATGTGATAATCTTGTAACAAACTCAATTACATTACATTCAAGTTGGTACTATTTTTGGGCCACTATAATATAAAAATATTTAATTTACACACGCGCACACACAAATACAAACCTGCAAGTGTGGCCATGATGCTTCTAATGTAGGATCATCTTCTTCTGGATCAAAATCTGGGTTCTCGCTGGGCGGCAATGTCCGGAATAGATTTGCTGAGATCTGTCACACAAATTTAATATTGATTATTAGTGAAACTGACGTAATTCTTTACTAAAATACATGCAAGCGATGTAAAGTTCTTTACTTTCCTGAATGGACTTGCGAAAATAAAAAATAGGTCTACTATGATGTTCTGATTCAATGTGTTATCAATCTACTAAGGGCCACGTAAAATGAGGTGACTGTTCCTGCAGCCATCACGTGGATAACTGCTACTTCTACTAATTCCACGTTTAAGCCTATGATACATTGTTGAAATAAAAATTGTTGAATGATAATTGTTATAAGAATCCAATTATAATCGATTGATTTGAGCAATTAATTTATCTCTTAAAACTGTTAACACTTAATTTGCCTTATCAGTTACTTGTATCATGAATGGGCTATGAAACACGACTGTGACATACCATTCTGATGATCTCGGGATAAACAGGCTCAGTAAGCACACCGCGGCCTGCTGTAATGTAGTCAACCAGTTCATTCAACGTAGCCCGCTTTATCTCCTTTCCCTTCAGGTCGGCCACTGGGTCCATGAAGTCAAACGCAACACAGCACTGTCGCAGTTTGCGAATAAACAGCTCCTCCTGTTCTGATGATGGGACATCTGCAGCAAAGGGGAAACAAAAAAAATCTGGATTAAAAACATGTCCAGCTCCAGCCTCCCACTTGTTACTACTGCCTCTTGCAGTCGGTGTTTTCCTTCGACCTCCATCCTGCTGCCCGAATTAAATAACACAGTAAAATAAATAAATGTGCCTTAGGAATTCAACATCAGACAAGCAGCATTTTATCACCACTTCATTAGAAATGAAGTATTGTGACAATACGTCAAAGAATTTCTTAATATTAAAAGAATTATGTGAAATATGCCAGTGTTCTTGTCAAATCTGAATCTTCTAATTCTCAAAAGTGGTATCTATCTGACACTGTATGTACAAAGAATACTTCACAAATCCAAATACTACTAGCACATTTAGATGTATATGTGTAGAATATCGCTGTCAACACACCTATTTCTGCCTGATAGAGCCATTTTCGGGTGCACTTCGTAATAATAAATGATTATGTAACCCAATGAAACATACCGTCTCAATACCTGGACAAAAGGCTCTGATTTTATAACGATAAAAGCTCTTTTTCTACAACTAAAATGTTTAACATTATACAAGCAGGTCTAGACAGATCACATAATACACGCCACTTACATTTCCAAACAAAAAGCATAACTTGACAATTACGAATCTTCGAGCCATGCACCTCCGAAGTTATCAAACGTTATTGTACTTTTTTCAGTCACTCATGACACAGTGAGATTGTCATTCGCTGCAAGAAGAACAGAATGCATCTGGGAAGCATCAAAAATTACGAAAGACTGTCACTATCCATTCTGTCCGGATGTAGGCAACACACGTTGCAGCAGGGCTTCTTCACCAAGCTAGAATAAGGTGGCGCCTACAGACACAGGGCAACATTTTATTTCGTCCACTTCAAACGTTTTAATCTAAAAATACGAAATGCATGATACACGTTATTCAACGGGCAAGCTATTTCAACTTTCACCCGACAACTTTCTGAAGTAACTGCACAGTCAACGCCACCAGAAGAAGCTGATGACGCTCAAAGAATGCCAGCGAATTTCCAAAACAGTCCATCACAGAAAACCAATAGTGAAAAATACGACATTCCCAGTAATCACAGGCAATGACGTATTTTCCATTAAGGCATCAGCGTTTACGTAGCAAAATGAAAGACAAGGCTGCAGTGAGCCTTCGAATTAAATCACCAAAGCAACAACAAATACAAACAATTAAATTTCAAGATGGCTGTCTTCCGGGTTGTTGCGCCGTGTAGTCTGGTAGTCGTTTACCAGCGTTTCGGAGGTACTTCTACCAGACTACTCGACGCTACAAATCAGAAGACAGTCATCTTCATACTCGCCGCCATGAAACCTAAAATATCAACTAGATTTCAGAAGACGAATCACTGTGTTTTAATCACAAAAGAAGGGTCTTCTGAACAAGTGCGAAGCTCGCCCATTTTCGTTTCGTCTCGAACCCTCCATACAAAGATTTATAACGTTATTTAGTGTGAGTTCTAAAATAAGGAATATTGACTTCGCCCATTAATCTTTAATAATTCGCACAAGTTATTAAACTTTTATAGACTACGAGTAAGTGGAATGTAACCACAGTAAACCAAGCCTCTTGGCCTACTGAAAGGACTGGTCGTAAAACTGTCTTATTCTGCCCACTCAAGAGGACAGCTGTAACAGTCCCTTGCACCAACTGTTTCGCTTCTTTACGACTCAATTATGTGAACAGTGATATTGGAGAACAATGTCCATTAACAGGCGTTTTGATGTCAAAAGTAAAACAAAGGCATAATTTTCTGATGCGTCTCCAGGTTGGCCACAGGCCGAAGGACTTCTTCTCAGGATTAAGATAGAAGAAAACCAAACCCTAAAGGCCATCCTCAGGAACGTCAAAAGGACTCATTCAAATCAGGGCACGAGGTTTGAAAACACAGAGAAATGAACACTACCACTGAGTCGTCCTTTCGCCAAAAGACCAACACCCACATCAGCAACAGCTCGTATCAGCAGCTGACAACAGAATTCACCTCCGGCCTTCTGACACCGTCGAGATCCAGCTGTCTGTCTGTCGTAAGCTGCAAGATGTTTAAACATACTAACGTTTTAAAGAATATGAGAGTATCCTTGCTGGTACAAACACCCCTCAACCAAATCACGTACATAATCCATCTACGACGTTCAAACAACATACACTAAAAGTTTAACAGTTAATATACAAGGAATAAAAAACCTAGAGGTAAAAATAGCGAGAATCATCCCAATCATTATGAGACTCAATACACAGTTTCGCGCAGGAAAAAAAAACGCGTATTATAAGTAAAAATACAACACCCTTCCGGAGTTGAAAAATTTATCTAGGATGAATTAAAGCATGTATCATCATACGAAACATTTTCAAAACGCCTGAACTGCTATTAACGATGGGCTTATAACCTTTATGAAGACTGTCTCTGAAGTAACTGAACTTCTATGCACGAGTATTCTGCCAAATCCTGAGATTGGTTTAACTGTTTTCTCCATTCAACAATTATCCTTACCTAAACAGAAGTTAAAACAACCGGAATTAAATATAAAGTACGTGTGATTATATGATTACACTGATTTCACATGGTACGAAATTTATGTCTCGTTGCCAGGTTATGATCAACGTAGCAACGGTGCACTGCCGCGGAAACAATTTTGACCGCGAGGAACTGAACGCAACGACAAGTTGTTCTTCCTATATCACCCTTTGTAATTTCGACGGCAGGGTAACGAACAGTCACCAACTAACTAACTAACTAACTAACCAAGCGGCAACACGCGGCGAGCAGTGCCCGAGTATAATCGTAAAACAGCTCACTAGAACCCGTCCTTGCATGTCACGATGTTTTCCGGACGGATTGTACCTCCCGTTACAGCTGGGTGACCCAACAGCGCCTGCATATCTTGTTGCCATGGTAACACACATGCGTACTGCCGGGATCAAACAACGGAGAGTGTATAAAGTATCTCGGAGGGGGAATCTGTGCTAATGACGTCATGACGTTATTGGAAAATGGAGGGGGGGGGCAAGGGGACCGATTCGTCTTCACACACGTTCAGCATCAAAACATTGGGCACTTTTTGCGAAAATCAATCTTAGTCTAACAATGCCGTGCGCGTTGTATTATTCCTTTTTTTATATTTCCACTGCAACCATAAAACTTTATCGAAAACGCGCTGAACTGGCATCACACAATTGCTTCTATAAATAATACCCCTTTTCAGCCCAGCCGAGTTGATTCATCTCGTGCCATTTTCGAGTCTAATTAGCCTCCTGAGAGCCGAGTGTCGGTGTCACACTGAACGAGTGTGTATTTTCTACAAAACTCAAACATGGAGTTGATCTACTGAAACCACGAGAGAGAGAAAGTTCTCAAGGCGATGACTACAAATATGGCTGTCTTCTAGGTTGCATCGCCTTCATCAACCAGGAAATAATAGCTCTGAAGACGGAGGCACCAAGGATCTCCGAAACTTTGGGAAACTTCTACCAGACATGAAACGCTACAACCCAGAAGACAACCATCTTCGAAGACAAAAATAGTGTCCCGTAGCTCAGCAATCAACGATGAAAAGATACATGTCTGAAGCCTTCAGGGCGACTGAGTACAATGAATTCTTCTCGGGCCACCAGCCGTGTCAGGCGGTTGGATGGAGAAAACGCCGGTGTTTTGAGAAACATCCTCGTTCTCTGAGTACTGAGATCCCGTCCGTGCTCTCTCTATACCTGACCAAGTTCCGTGTTATTGGCTGCACTTTAGCCTACAGAGACTAGTGTGCAGAGTGATGTGCCCTCTATTTGCAGCCCAGCTTTCCGACTGGATAACGTGTTCCTTACCGGGTACCAGACCAGCTCAATGTGAAAACCCCGTCTCTGTTGAAGTTCCCTGAGTTCCGTTCAACTTCAACCACTTCATCCACGAGGCGGTCCACATATATGGACAGGACTCCAGTAACTTCAACGGACTGGATGCAGCAGTAGCACCTTCAAGAGGCGAGACAAGTGCTCAAAATGTGTATTCAAGTAGGTTCACACCTCGCGTCCCAGCATAAAGTGGTACAGAAGTAGGGCTATTGCTGAATTAAATGTGAAAAACTACACGACCGCTTGTATCTTCGGTACTTTGCGATGTTGAAACGTCGACGTCATGTGGACTGAGATATGGTAGTTCGACTACACATGATAAATCGGAAGGAACGTGGCAGATCGTGGGCTATTTTAAAGTCAGCCCCAAACATATGACTGGAGATATTAAATAAAATCAGATAAAGTTCAACTATTCTGCCCACATTACAACTAGCAATCACACAAATTACGGACAGGTGCTTTATCGCCATATGAATACAATCGATCTAAACAAGATAACAATGAAACATGCCGTAACCATTGCGTCATGCTCACCAAAATCTGACTTCTATAAACAGCACCAGTGACGTCAGAGCTTCCCCAATCTTCATTTATCATCTCATATACTATTTCCTCTTCTCTGGCAACGTAACGTAACCCAACACAACCTAACCTAAGCTAACTCAAACCAACCTAACGTTGCCTTACGCAATTCATCCTAACCTAATTTAACCCCTCCTCCCTTATCCTCTCTTCACTGTTCTCAGCTCACGCTTTCTCTCCAAGCCCATCATCTCTTCCCCTCTGTTCACCGAAAAGCCTTCAAGGAATAAGACATTCACCGCAGATTACTTTAGAGATGACATTTGAAGGGGCATAGCGACGGCCGACACCTTCGAGAACTTTCGTCGCGACGTCATAACAGACCACACATATGTAGAATGGTCAAGAGTGTGGCAAATAGACGACGGTCGTCGCGACGCTAATCGCCTTACGCAGCCAAAGAATGATACATATGCAAATTTCAGCTGCCGGACCATCTCAGACGACGTAGAATAACAGACTCCGGGCGTCGTTAAGCCATTCGTCACTACGTCAGTACGGAGTACACTTGGCATCGCTAGTATCCTACATGGCCTAG